TCAGAGGGGAGAGGGTGCTTCCAGAACTGCCCACCAGATGGTCTGCATGGATGATGTCTGGGATAGCCTTCCTGGACGGCACCTTCCCATTCCCCCAGCCCCAGCCCCCACAGGGCAGTAGCACCTTCAACAAGTAACTGCTGACTTGAAAGTGCCTTTGCTGGCTGAATCAGAGTTCACTAAAGGCCAGAGTGTCCCTTCACTCGGCTGGAGGAAGTCGAGCTGTTCCCCTATCAGGAGAGTAAAGGCCAGGCATCACAAGGGAAGTGGAAGCCCAACTAAAGCAACCCAGACAGCCCGTTCTCTCCTCTCTGGATCCAGTTCCAGGAGTGGGGTGGACAGGCCCGAAGGGCAAGGCAGGACATCCAGACCCTGCTTCCTGGCTCCACCTTTGCCAAGGTGGGCACCGAGTGTGGCACCTAGCTGCATCCTGCTGGGGCCCCCTGAGGAGAATCACCTTCTTATTCATTGAACAATCATTTCCCAAGTGCCTGCTGTATGCCAGGCCTATTCCAGAAATCAAGAACACAGAGATGGACAGGGATGTCCCTGCCCAGGAGAGTTCTCAGAAACACTGTACGCCCTAAAACATCAGGACCAAACAGGAAGGTCCTTGGTGGAGACAAGCACAGGGGACTGGGGGAAGGGGAAAAGGTGGTGGGGGATTGGGGCACTTGGGGAAAGTCTGCCATTGATGTTCAGACCTATTTCCCCTCAGGAAGCTTAGAGCCACGTTGAGGAGACCCAGCCACCCCCAGAAAGAGCTAGGGAGCACCACACAACTGGAAGTGACTAGTGTCTTGGGGCAGGCACAGAGGAACTGTGCAGAAAGCAGGTGCTCTGGGAATGCCCCTGGGGGTCTGAGAAGTAGCCTGGCACAAGTCTTGAAAGACCAGCCAGATGCAGAAAATATCGATGACTCATTTATTGCACATTTACCATATGCTAGGAATAAAAGTGCTAAACGTTTTTTGTGTGCTTTTTGTTTTATCCTCATGCTACCCCATGAAATAGTTACCATTGTAATTCCCAATTTACAGATTCAAAAACAGAGGCTCAGAAGGGGTCACATAGCTAGGAATTGACAGGAACAAGATTCAAAGTCCAGCACTTCACCACCATGCTATAGCATCTCCCTAATCTGTGGATAGACAGAAGGTAGGGGAGGGCGATTTAGGTGGGGGAACAAGGTAAGAAGAGTAGAGTGGTGGGACCAAGTACTATTCATCTGAAGGGAGTCACTCAGCTACACTCTGTGCTGAGACTGTATTGCGTGTGTGTGTGTGTGTGTGCACATGCGCATGACTGTATGTTCAAGCACATCCCCTACTTTACAAAGGACGGGTCCCAGGTTCCAGAACCCCCTGAGAGCCAAGGAAAGAATGGGCCATTAGCAGATCAGGGAAAGGAAGCCCAGAGAGGAAAAGGGACTTATCTAAGGTCACACAGCATACAAACACCAGAGCCGGAATGAACTGCAAGACCAAAATACAGGCTTCTTTCACCCCTCAGTTGCTGCTTCGTGTCAGCAGAGAGTGAATCAGCTGCTGGCAGGAAAACCACAGTGTAGGGGAACCTGGGGGGGGTGAGTCAGGAACAAGCCATCTCCCGAAAGACACCACTGAGCTTGTCACAGAGGTGACAAGTCTGTGCTTGGCTGCCCCTTCACAGGCCAGCATCAGGGTCTGGGGGCGGGTGGAGAAGCAACACATCCCATACCCCTAGGCCAATGTTTACCACTGAGCTTCCCCTCCAGGCTCCTCAGACCCAGGCTCAGAGGAAAGGAAACCAGAGGGCAGGGCAGTTCCTGCTGAGATTAAACAGGCCCCCCACCCCGGCCCCCTCCTGTCCCATAGAGGGGCCCAGGCTCTTCCCTCCCCTCACAGAGCCAACTTCTGGCCATTTGATGCTCTTGATTAAATCATAACCGCCCCCTCTGAGCTTCCCGTGGGGCAGAGGAAGTGGGTATAACGGTTTGGAGCAGGGGGCCAAGGCCAAGCCCAAACCAGGGGTAGCAGCTGGCCCCAGGTGTTCGAACCCAAAGGAACACTCAGGGCTTGAGTCTGTTCAGCTGTGTGCCAGGAGGGGCTGTCTGGTCCTCAGGGGAACAGGGGTTGGGTCCCCAGAGTGGAGGGGGATGGCCGGCAGGAACTTCCAGGCTGTGACTGTAAGGTCTGAGGCCTCGAGAGAGGGGGTTGCCCCTGCACAGTAGAAACTTCAGAGGAACCCAAAGGAACCAAAACTCCCCCTCTTCAATGTGGGAAACTTGTGCCCTGAATGGCTGCCTGCTGCCAGAGATAGCACAGGGCTAACCTCTCACCTCTGCCCTCCCTGGGCTGGGAGAGGGAAACCCAAGACACTTCTTCCCACCCACCCTGCTCCCAAATCTATTGCTGGCTGGGCCAGGCTCCCGCCCCTTGGCCCAGATACCTCCCCTTCATGGGTGAATGCAGGGCTCTCTCCCTATCACTCTCCCTGGCACCCCCCACCCACCCAATCCAGCCATGTTTCTGAACCCCTGCTGTGCACCATGGACCAGACAGGGTGGGGGAATAGAAAGAAACACAGGGCATGCACTGGAACACTCCTCTCGCTGTGCCACCCTGGCTCTGCTTCCACCCCTTTGATGGTGCCTCTTCCTTCACTCCCATCTGCCCCAAAGTCACCCAGACCCCTCTTTCCCCATTACCACAGCACATCTGGCACAGACTGCCACTCCGGTATGTTACGCCCCTGCTCAAAAACCTTCAGTGGCTCCCACATTGTACAAATCCAATTGAAACTTTTCACCTGGGTATTCAAGGTCCATGAGTTAATCCCACCTACCATTCCTGCTTCGCATCCCCTGCACAGTCCCAGACTTCAGCCAGACTAATCAACACAGCAGTTTCTTGAGAACTCCCTGAACAGGCTGACCTCGTTGCCTCTGCCTAGGCATTTTCCTCTGTCCAAGACACTATCTTTGCCCTGGCTACTGAAACCCTCCCAATCCTTAAGGCCCTGAAAATCCCACTAACGTTTTTTTCATTTATCTTGTATCGGAGTCACTGGTATTGTTGTCTAAACTCCTCCCCAGGTGATAAGCAACCTGAGGGTGAGGGCCCTGTGTCATTCAGCATGTGTGGTGGGGGTTGTCGGGGGGGAGGGCTTTCCATTAGATGCTTACCAGGAACTATAAAATGAACATCTTCTCCTCCCCATCATGGGCACCACTGACCAAGCCCTCTCCCTCCCCACTGTACTAAACTCTAATCTTATGCCACTTAAGTCTATGGCACCACGTTGATTCCAGCCCAACCAGGGCTTGAGAGCCTGGGCAGAAAGTCCTGCTAAAGTCTCCAAGAAGCCTCCTCACCCCCTGCTCTGCTTTCTCAAGTGTGTCACCTCTTCTGACACCTCCCCCTCCCTATATACAGTTTGATCCCAAACTGTGTCCTCTACATCGTGCAGCCTTCAGTCAGACTCTGTGCATAGTACTTTCCGATTCCCATAGTACTTTCCAGTTCCAAAGTGTACAGCTTATCTCCCCAGATGACACAGGGTATCCTTCGGTGTCCAACCCTGCTCACACAGAAAACAGATGCCCACATGGCCCCTCACCTCCACCCCAAGCCAAGTGTGCAATGGAATAGCACAACACAGACCTGTGAAATCTCCTCTGGCCCTGAGCCCTGCATGTGAGTGATCCTCTCCAGCACGGACACCAACTCAGGATGAGGGCAGAGCCAGGTCTGGCTAGTTCACCTCTGTATCCCCTAGCTTTGTGTACTATATTGTAGGTGCTCAGTAAAGATTTTTTGGTTTAATTGAACACCCACTCACTCAAGCAATATTACAGAAAACTCAGCCGCTCTTTGGTCCAGGTGACACACTCTCCAGCCCTTGAATGAACAGAGTGACATTGGTGGCAGGTGGCAATTTCTGGCTCTCACAGAGTCAGGAGGGGATGCAGCCAGCCTCCAATCCTCCAAAAACAAGGGCTCATTTCCAGCAGGAAGCCAGCCCATCACCTGCCAATCCCCATCAGAGCAGCTGTCATGTAGTGTGAGGCATCACTGGGTGCCTGGCTCCTGGGTAAGCACTGTACACATGTTATTCTCTATAGTTCTCGCTACTACTATTGGGTATTGTCATTACCCCCATTTTATAGACAAGAAAACTGAAGTTTGGAGGGAGAGTGGAATCCAAGTCAGTTTGGTCCCAAAGTTCAAGCCCTTGACCACTGAACTAGGCTGCCCAGCTACTGTGGCCCTACACAGGGCACCCATCACCACCAGGGACAGAACCCTTCAGCACAACAAACCCTTGGGCTTGACCCTGGGCCCAAGGTTTGGTGGGGTTTCCTCTCCTCTTCCCCACTCACCCCAATAAGAACTGTCCCTCAGTTTCTGCCCTGGGCCCCTCAGGTCAGCTCATCTGGAAAAGCCCGGCTGAGTTTCCGATTTGAAGTCTTTGAGAGCCCAGCTCAGTTGAGCTCTCAAAATTGGGGTAATGGGGAGGACAACCACAACCTCCCTGCTTTGGGCTCACCTTCCCCAAGGCCCATGGGATCGAGCCCCATCCGGGAACCAGTGTGACCTTTAAAACAACACGCTTCTCTCAGTCCCATTTTGCAGGGAAACTGCGAATAGGCAGCGCAGTCTGAACACCTGTGGCTGAACTGCAGTCCGTTCCCACCTGCCAGTCCTCACCCTCCAGAGTTTCAGTGAGAAAGGGAAACTGGAGCATGGAGTTCACCTGGTTCAACCCCCTCCTACTGCAACCTGGGAAATCCGGGGTGGAGGGACAGGGCCGGGTCACACAGCCGGTGCAAGACGGAGCCGGAGAACTTTAGGGGGTGGGGGTGCGGTCAGAACTCGGGGGCCAATGCTCCTTCTCCCCCACCAGCTGCTCCGACCTGTCACGTGTTCCGAGAAAGCTGCCCAAGCCGGCCGCAGAAGTAGGGGCGAAAACTAACTTCGCTTCTGGTTGTTCGGACGGCTTCCCTCGGCCCTTCTCACCTGCTGGCTCTGCTTTTTCCTCCGCGCTGCAAGCCCGGCGTCGCCCGCTCGCGTCCCAGTCAGCGTCCGACGGCGCAGCCCTTGGCTCAGTCACTCCAGCGTCCCCCTCCCAGAGGCCGTCTGCGAAGGCAACGGCCTCGGCCAGGCCCCACCCCTCCTCAGGCCACGCCCCTTCTGCTTTTCTAAGCGAGTCCGCCAGCCCCGCCCCGGACCCCGCTATAGGCCAGGCCCCGCCCCTTGCCCCGCCTCCAGGTCACGCAAGGGGCGACGTCCGCCCCTGGCCCCGCCTCCCGGCCCTGTGCTGTGTGTCCCTCTACCCCCGCCCCCGAGCCCTGCCCAAGTCACAGCCCTACCTAGCGGTCCCGCCTCTCTTCGGCCTTCCTTGTTCCCCCGAGTCCTCTCCCTGGCCGCTGGCGGCCCTCCTGAGCCCTCCCATCGTCCCCCCCTCCTTCACTTTCTCCTCCGGGTCCGCCCCCGGCTCTCCTAGAGTGAAGACACACCCCTTCCCCGCCTCCGTAATCCTGTCCCGCCCTGCCCACCCCGACTCAGGGCGGTGAGGCCTGGGGCCCCCACTCTGGCATTCCAGGACGAGTGTATCCGGGTGCCACCGGGGAACAGCGTGGGAGCGGTTTGCGTTCCAAGTCTCTATCAGAAGGCGGTCTGGGCCTGGGCACTTTTTGAAACTAACAGCTACCATTGATTGAACCCTTGCCAGGGGCCAGGCTCTATGCCAAGCACTGTGAAAAGTACCGGCCCTTGAATTCCCACAACTCATGGGGTACTCTTGTTACACCCATTTTACTGATGCGCAACTTAAGGCTTAGAGAAGGTGCAGGCAGTGGCGAGCGGGATCCAGCCCCAGTCCCTGAATTACACACAGACTTGGTGCTGCCCCAGCTTGTCTAGACTGGCCCCTGGAGAAGTGGCCCAGGCCCGCCGGCTGTTGGAGCAGTGCCCAGCAGCCCGCCTGAGGTAAGGGAGGAGGTGTGGCTTGATGAAAGGGGTGACAGGAGAGCCTGCAGGCCTGAGCCCTCAAAGCTGGCTCTCTCCATAGAAATGGCCCAGAATTAAGGTGGGCTACAAAAGGTCACCAGGTGTCTGTCATGCCCCACCCTACATCCCAGCACGCTGCACTTCCAGACTCCAGGGGACTAGCCTGGGGCAGGTTACCCAGTTAATGACCAGGGCCATTCACCTGTGCAGCTGACAAAGCTCTTTCACTCCCATTATCTCACTGGCATCTCACAACACCAGCCTTGTGGGGAGGGTATGATTATGCCCGTTTTGCATGGGTGGAGTAGGGTAGGGAGCTGGATCCCAGCCCGGCCTACTAGTTTTGAAAGCGTGGTCCTGGGACCAGCAGCATCAACATCATCTGGGAACTTGTTAGGAATGTGTATTTTGAGGGCCCATCCCAGACCTACTGAATGAGAAACTATGGGGCAATTTGGTTTCACAAGGCTTCCAGGTGATTCTGAATCACTCTCAAGTTTGAGCAAATTGTGAAGAAATTAGGGTGGTCTGAGAATCACAGACCTAGGTAGCTGCCTGGCAACCCAGGGCAAGACGAGGTACTTAACCATTCTAGGATGAGCCCCTAAACAGGGAAAAATAACAATAACAATATTAATACTAATGTTGAGGGTGGCTGTTGAAGATTAATGTGATAGCATTCGTGAAGTGGTTGGCTCACTGCCTGGACACTGTGCATGCGCACGAAATGTTCTCTTTCCAGTAAAAAGTTTCCTTCATAGAATCTCCACACCAGGTCAGGGGATTGGGTCTGGGAAATCCTGTAAGCCCATCAGTGCTCCACTTCGTTGTCTTTCTCCCAAGGGGACACCATCTATCCTGCAGGAGCTCAAGGTGCTAACAAGCTCGCAAATGATGTGGACGCTGCTGGTCCAGTAACCGTATTTTGAGAACCACCACCCTGTTCTGTCTTGTCTTGGGTTCTAGCTCCCCACCCTACCCATGCAAAATGGGCATAAAATAACCTTTCTCTTCCATGCTGCTCCACAGCCCCTTCCCCCAAGCTGGGGTGTTTGTGATGGTGACTGGCAGTTGGCAAAACAGCTGGATCCCATCAGCACTCCCTTCCCCCTAAGCAGACATTCCCTCATGTTAGTCCCATTTGCTATCCCTTTCTGTCTTTGCCACTCCAGATTAGAGATGGAGGCAGCTGTGGCAACAAGGAGGGCAGTCTGCAGGCAGCTTCTGGAACCTGTGCCATACTCCCCACCATCCTCTTCAGCCCCAAAGAGGGTCTCTCTGTAGGAGCTCATAGCTGGGGGCACTGGGCCTATCATGCAGACCTACCCTATCACATGAAGCCCAAGTTCAGAGTGCAAACTGAGGCCACATACCTTGTATTTAAATATTTAACAGACAAAAAGTATGTTTATTCTCCTACCTTGGTCCTTATAATGACCAAGAAGACCATGTTCAAATTTAGAATTCTTGGACTCTGGAATTCTACCCCAGCCCTCAGCTCACCCATCCCGCTTCTCTTCCTGTCCCCCTCTTCGTCCTATGTCATAAGTGACCTAGGATTCAGGAGTGCGGCAACCCAGCCCAAATGCCCAAACTCTGTCCACGTGCCCTGCCTACAGCCACCTCTTGGTCACCCCTCTAGGGGTGCACATGCCAGGAGGTTTGTGTCAGCCTTAAAACTGGGCTTGGGCCCATTAGGCAGAGATTTCCAGGTTTTTAATACCCAAGGCACGATGGAGATGAGATGTGGGCTCTGGGTGGACATGGGTTCCCCTCTTGTCTGGATCTATGGATGGCACTGCCATTTGGCCTTGTCTCCCCAGCACCTAGCACAGTGCCTAGAAGGTTAAGGGACAGTTGTTGAGTAGATGTGCACCTGAGTCACTTACTGAAATATCACATGGGGTTGGCTCTCCCCACATTGTCCTCATTTACTCTTTTTCAGCAGAAGTCAGGCTTTGTCATGACTTACCTTGGCTGTTTTGCCAGGCAGAGAGCAGAGAGACGTCTAGTGAGAGACTCCATCTTTTGTAAAGTTCTTTAGTCCATTCCAGAAATGAAGCCAGAAGTTCTGGAGGTGGGGAAAGAAATGAGAAGAACCACTCCAGAAAACCTTGAGAGAAGATATCAAATGGTTAGCTTGGAGGTAGGGGAGATGGTGGTATGCCAGACCTTAAAGGGAGATGGTCATGGGATTCCCAGCCTCTCAGAAGATTCCCCCACCCTAAAGGTGGCATGGGAGTAGCAAAGCAGGAAACCTAAAGGTCCTCGTTGGCAAGAACATGGGTGTCAGTTTCTTGTTGGTACCTGGGCCTAGGTAAGGCTCCAAGACTTTTGCACAACTCTGGCCAAAAGGAGGGAGAGAGAGTGAGGGGGGTATCTGTTTCCCATTGCTATGTAATAAACCACCTCAATCATTTATTTAGACCATAAATCTGCAATTTGGGCTCAGTGGCAAAGGCTTATCTCTGCTCTATGCAATGTCAGCTGGTCCAACCGGGGGTTAGAGGATTCATTTTCAAGATGGTGCTCTCACATGGCTAGTAAGTTGGTGTGAGCTGTCAGCTGGGAGCTCGGCTAGAGCTGTGTAGACCAAAGGCCTCAGTCCCTCTCCATAAGGCCTGTCCACATGTTGCTTGGGCTTCCTCACAACAAGGCCACTAGGTTACAAGAGCAAATAGAGAACAAGGTAGAAGTGTATGGAATTTTGTGATCTAGCCTTGGAAGTCATATAGTAGCATCACCTCCTTTGCATTCTATTAGTGGAGGCAGTGACAAAAGCCTACTGGGTTCAAGGGGGGGAGCACAGTCTCCCTCTCTAGAAGAGCCTGTGGGACAGGAGATGTTCAAGGGGAGGGAGCTGCAGTGGATTGAATGGCCCCTAAGGTCACTGGAGCTTAATCCTTGCTGTAACTGTTAAGAGGGTGGGAAATCCTATTACGATAGTTGAAAGGTGAAACCTTGAAGAGGTGATTAGATTGTAAGGACCATCCTGTAGTGAATGGATTAATAATGGTGGTCATGGGTGTGGTTCTGAGGGCTTTAAAAGGAGAGCATGTGGGAGTCTCTCTTTCTCTGTTCCACCATATCCTGCCATGTGAGACCCCTGCATTGTCGTAAAGCCAGCACCAAAGAAAACCCTCACCAGATATGTTCCGTGGACTTTGGACTTCCCAGCCTCTGAAACTGTAAGCAATAAATTTTGTTTTCTGATAAATTATCCAGTTCCAAATATTTTGTTATAAACAACAGAAATGGACCAATATAGGAGCATCGTCTTCCTCACTTGATGATGGGGTGGCAAAATTCTAGATACAATAAACACAACCTGCCCCAAGGTGGTCCTCAAAATGACTGGAGTAGAATTTCCTCTGATGGGAGCTGAGAGTCCAAACTAAGTGGATTTAAAGGAAAAGTATACAATATCTCTCTCACAAGCATGTGTGCACAAATGAATAAGAAGTCCAACAGGGGAGAGTTAGTCCTGAGTGCTTGGGTTATTTAAGATCTTTGTCCTTCAAGAGTCTTCAGAATAGAGTTAGCAACTTCCTCCCCTCAACCTGTACTCTTTCCTTAAAGTTATAAACTTAAATAGCACTCAGTTCCCACAACCACCACCAGATGAGGTACATACTATCATGATGCCCGTTTCCAATATGTGGAAATGGAGGCACTGAGGAGTTAATAACTTGCCCATGGTCATACCAATAAGTGATGGAAGATGGAGAAATGACAATTTATAGCCAGCCCGATTTTCAGTTGCAGAAATTGAGACCCAAGGGAAAGGCCCAACCAAGTTGTGCAGTACCCAGGTACTGAGCACCCATCACTGAACCACAGTGTCTACCCCAAAGGCTCACACTGGGTCAAATAACTTCCCTGTGGCTTCATGGGGACCTTGCTTCCTTCCTATTTGAGTGACAGAAAGAATGCTGGCCTAACTCTGTCCCATCTTTTGTCCTCAGGCCAGGAAGTAGTTCCTAGCAGTTTCTCAAGCCTAGGTCTATTCCCAGGCATAGTAATTCCTGCATTTGAATGGGCTCAGCAGGGCCACTGGCCTTTGTTTTTTTCTCCAAAGGACTTGGTGGGGATCTGAACTCTCAGCCCATGATAGCTGGGTTG